AAAATTGAGATCTGTCAAGACTGAAGACTCTAAACTAAAAATTTTACCCTTTTTTATTTTTGTTTAGCCAATAGGGATAATTTAACGCCTCATGACCGTCTTAGGGGGCGAAGCCCTAATGCAAATTAAAAATTTTTAGGGACAAAATGCAGATCCCAAATCATTTGCAATGCTGTTTAAAAATGTTCACTGTTTGGATCTGGAATTTCGAAGTTTGGCCGCTTTAAAGAGACAAGGACCCCTAAAGGGGCGAAGCCCCAATAAAATCTGGCAACTTTCTCAACTATAATGAGGTGCTAAAGCCATTCAATACGCCCAGACAAAATTTAACGTTATCCGTAATACCAGTTTCGAAAATTTTGCATATTTAATGTGGCATGAGCCCCGAAGGGGGCGAAGCCCTAAGGCAAATTGAAATTTAAAAAAGCTCAACTATAGATCTCCATACCATCAGGACTCTGATGGAGAGGAAAATTTGATTTAGTGTTCCAATTTTGTAAATCTAATTGATTTAAACGATCCTTCTTTTTTAGGGGGCGAAGCCCCACAGCAATGATAAATGTTTTTAAACAGCATGGTGGATTTTAATACTTTTAACGCTCTCAGCTGAACTTGCTGCTTTTTTCCAGATAGGGCGCCTCTAAAATGGCTTATTTAATGTGGGGTCACGTCCAACGGGGGCGAAGCCCTATGGAAATTTTAATTTTTGTTTCATTAAAATATTGATTGGGGCACTCTGGTAACTCTCAAGGAGAATTTTTTTATTTTTGCATTTTCTAATGTGGTAAATGTGGTTGATTTCAATCGTCGTCAACTTCTAAAGGGGCGAAGCCCTATGGAAATTTTAATTTTTGTTTTTTAAAAATATTGATTGAGACACTCTGGTAACTCTCAAGGAGAAATTTTTCATTTTGGCATTTTCTAATGTGTTAAATGTGGTTGATTTCAATCGTCGTCAACCTCTAAGGGGGCGAAGCCCTAACAGAATTTGAAACATTTCTGCACTAAAATATTGGTATTAACCCGCTCAAAACTCTCGTATAAAATTCTAAAACGCTTGCGGCTCTAACTCCTAAGATAGAGCATGAATGAGTAAAAATTGGCTCTAAAAATTCCTAACTTATTGAGCACTTACATGCTGAATTAAGGGCAAAAATAATGATCAAGTATCCGAAGAAATTGGCCATTGAACATCAATTAACTCAACATTCACTTCACTCCAAACTGGCTCTAAAAATCTAATGAAGAAGGCATTTATATGCCACTCCATTCCCCTGCTCTCCTGCATTTGGAGAGGAGGCTTATCAGTGATAAGGTGATTGTTGCTGGCAAAACCGGATATTGTTGATACATTTCTGATTTTCCATGCGCTTTAAGAGGAAGCGGCAACCGTGGATAGAGAGGTCTTGAAGCTTCCATTCCATGTTGCCGGGTTTATAACTTTTTGAAGGATTCTAAGGTTTCGAAAGCAAGTGAAACTAATGAGTTTCTAACTGGTTTTTGGAAAAACTGGTTCAGGTGAGGTTGGGGAAACCTAAAACCTCACCGAAATGAAAGGAGTTTTTGGTTCATCCAAATTCGACCGAAAGTAAACGAGTTATGAGCCATTGAGCTCTAAGTTTCAAAATGGAAAAAAAATCCAATTTCATGTTTCTAAACCGATTTTGAAGCTCCAAATGCCAAAAGTTAGAGAAACTGATGATCTTTTAACCAGTTTTTATTTTTTTTAAATACGGCCAAAAGTAAACGAGTTATGAGCCATAGAGCTCCCACTATAAAAGTGGGAGTTTTTACAACTTCCATGTTTTTGAACCGATTTTGACGCAATAAAAGGCAGAAGTTGGATAAATTTATGAACTTTTGTCCCGTTTTGAATTTTTCAAAATTCTCCCAGTACTACACAAGCTATGAGCCATAGAGCTCCCATTATAAAAGTGGAAGCTTTTATAAGTTCCATGGCTTTTAACCGATTGTGATGCAATCAAAGTCAAAAGTTGTATAAATTCATGGACTTTTGTCTGGTTTTGAATTTTTCAAAATTGGACGAAAACTAAGTAAATTATTAAGCATAGGGGTCCTGATTTCAAACTAATTTGTTTATAACTTTCTTGTTTTTTTACCAATTTTAATGCCCAAAAATCCAAAAGTTTGAGAAACTCATGGTCCTTTAACCAGTTTTTAATTTTTCAAAATGCGGCCAAAAGTAAGCGAGTTATGAGCCATAGAGCTACCATTATAAAGGTGGGAGTTTTTATAACTTCCATGTTTTTTGACCGTTTTTGACGCAATCAAAGTCAAAAGTTGGAGAAATTAATGGACTTTTGTCTGGTTTTGAATTTTTCAAAATTCGACGAAAACTAAGTAAATTATTAAGCATACGGCTCCTGATTTCAAAGTTATTTGTTTATAACTTTCTTGTTTTTTTACCAATTTTAATGCTGAAAAATTGAAAAGTTAGAGAAACCGATGGTGTTTTAACCAGTTTTTAATTTTTCAAAATGCGGCCAAAAGTAAGCGAGTTACGAGCCATAGAGCTCCCATTATAAAAGTGGGAGTTTTTATAACTTCTATGTTTTTTAACCGATTTTGACGCAACAAAAGCCAAAAGTTGGAAAATTTTATGGGTTTGAATTTTGCAAAAATTCGAGCAATACAAGCGAGTTATTAGCCACAGAACTTCTATTATATTTCAAATAATTTATTTATAACTCTTGTTTTTTCACAAATGTTAACGCTGCAAAAGCGAAAAGTTAGAGCAACTGCGGTTGTTTTAACCAGTTTTGAATTTTTCATAATACGGCCTACAGTAAGCGAGTTATAAGCCATAGAGACCCCATTAAAAAAGTGGGATTTTATATAACTTCTATGTTTTTGAACCGGTTTTGACGCTACCAATGCCAAAAGTTAGAGAAAATTATATACTTTTGACTGTTCTTTAATTTTTCAAAATTCTGCCAAAACGAAGCGAGTTATGAGCCATAGAGCTCTCATTATAAAGTGGGAGTTTTTATAACTTCCATGTTTTTTAACCGATATCAACGTTCCAAAATCCAAAATTAAGAGAAATCCATGTACTTTTGGCCGGTTTTTAATTTTTCAAAATTTGTTCAAAACTAAGCGAGTTAAGATCCATAGAGCTCCCATTATAAAAGTGGGAGTCTTTGTAAGTTCTAGGTTATTTAACCGATTTCCACCTCCAAACGCCAAACGTTAGAAAACAGATGGACTTTTAACTAGTTTTTAATTTTTTAAATTAGGGACAAAAGTAAGCAAGTTATGAGCCATAGAGCTCCCATTTTCAACGTGGGACTTCTTATAACTTCTATGTTTTTTAACCGATTCCAACAATCCAAATGCCGAAATTTTGGGGAAATTCATGCACTTTTCACTTGTTGATAATGTTTCAAAATTCGACCCAAACTAAGCGAGTTATGAGCCATAGAGCTCCTATTATAAAAGTAGGACCTTTTATAACTTAAACGTTTTTTATCCGATCTCAACGCCCTAAAAGCCAAAAGTTGAAAAAACTGATCAGCTTTCGAATAGTCTTCAATTTTTCAAAATTTCGCTCAAACTAAACGAGTTATGAGACATAGAGCTGCGACTCATAAACTGGATAAATGTGCTCATAACTTCCAGGTTATTGCACCGATTGCAACCGCTCCAACGCTGAACGTTAGAGAATTTGATGGGCTTTTAGATGGGGTTAGAGTTTTGGAAATTGGACTTATTCAATTCCCCGTAAGTTTAATTCTTGAATTATAAATAATTCAAAATGTACATTTTTCTGCATAACTTCCGGGTTTTTCAACGGATTTTAACACTCTAAAGTGCATCAGTTAGAGAAAATGAGCGGCTTTAAAGTCCTGCTGAGTTTTTCGGATTCGGACCAATAGCAAGCGAGCTATGAAGCATAGAGTCACCGATTTCAAAACGCAAAATTCTCGAAAATTCCCAAATAGTCGAACCAGGGCTTGGCGAATTTCTGTTAATTTTGCATAAAATGTGAAATTAACACACAAAAATAACAATTCTAAAAATTCCTCAAAAAGTACACTTTTCTGCATAACTTCCAGGTTTTTCAGCCGATTTGCACGAACAAAACTGTCGAATTTTGGGAAACTCACCGTCTGTAAAGCGCTTTTTTAATTTTCAAAAACGACCCAAAATCCAGAGAGTTATGAGGCATAGAGTCACTATTCCGAAAACTCAAAATTTTCCAAAATTCGTTATAATTGGACAACTGGATTTAAAACTTTAATTAAAAATTAAAAAGTAAAATTTTCTAACAAAAATTATTAGTGATTGTTCCCGCAAAAACCCAAAGTTTTTGCACATATTTGCACAAATCCAGGCCGAAAAACGCACACATCCGGCTGCATCGACGTCATTGAAACCCGAAAAATCACTGATTGCTGTTAATCGACCGGAAAAAATGCAGCCGAGTGAAGCCAGGAACCCGCGATTAACCAACCATGTAGAGGAACGTTTCACCAATTGCACGCATGGACGCTCCATCAAACCTGGCATGTTCGTCAAGTGGGCGCTGATTTCGCAACTAAACTCTGATGCCAAATCTAGTGAAAAAAAGCCAGAAAACTTGGCAGGATTTGGAATTTGTGAAAGATTGACCGATTGGCGGATGCGCCCATAAGAAGTTAAATTGTCCACAGAACCACGGTTCCAACAGTCAAAAATTGTTAAAAACACCCGAGAAATCAGCTAAAAGTGCCACTTAAAACTTTCCAAACACAGCTTAAATTAAAATATTTGATGACTTAACCTCAAAAACTTTGATTAAAGGAACAAAACTCGCGTGTTTTAGGGCCAATTTGAAAAATAATAAAAAACCCCGAAAGCCTCGCAATTTGCGCACGCAGCCACGTTTCGGCCTAACAAAAATTCGCAAAATCAACCGAGTTATCGAAAAATGTTGCCACTTAAAAATTTCCAAAAACCTACATTTTCGAAATTTTAACTGCCCAAATGCTCTTCGACACTCGAATTGACCAAATTTTAAAATTCCCTTTGCAAGTATCGACTGCTGAAAGACTTAACCTCAAAAACCTTGATTAAAA